CATAGGCTGTGGAAATAGTGATGCTCCCCTGGGACATCTGTGTCCATGCAGGAAAGTGCTCACTATCTAGGCAACATATGGTCTTGCTCTAAGCACCTCACCGTTGTCTAAACTGATACCTTCAGTATCGGTGCAGAGATTAAGGCTAGGCTTCATACACAGTGTCTCCTGGGACAACTTCCCTTGTAACTTTTCCTCACAGCTGGGCCAGCTGCAACTGTGCTGTGTCCACCACCTCCCACACCATCTTCCCAACTCTGTGAGATCCACCATTGGAAGTGAACCCAGGAAAACCTGTTGCAGGACCAGATGACCTGCCTCCAGTCCGTCATCTGGGGGTCCAAGGAGGAGCACCAGGAGCAGAGGAAGGCCATATGGGACAAGCTGGTGTGCCAGCATGAGGCTATGTGCTCTTCCCTCGCCTTGGTGATGGAGCGTATGGCCTTGTGCATAGAGCGTTCCAACAGACACCTCCCCACCAACCTACTCCATGGCTTCCCCTCCAACCTCCTCCCCCGGGGTCACCGGGGCCCCAGAACACGTGACAGTAGGACGTCTTGAGCAGCCAAAGCCTCCCAAGCTACCCAAGGCAGGTGCCATTCCCAGCCCCATCCTTGAGCCCCCCCATCTCCTCCCCCATTCCATGTTTCCCCCAAATAAACAGTCTTGTTTTTTTCAACAAAGGCAGTTTTTTTATTTGCTCTGAAAAAAAGGTAAAAAGGGAAGGCAGAAGAAGGGAGGGGTGGGGGAGGAAAGGCACATAGAGGGAATGCAGGTCTCACAGGTGGCATTGGCTGAAACTCTCCCTCAAGGCCTCCCAGATGAGCACAGCCCCTTGATGTGCTCTCCTGACGGCACTGGTGTCCAGCTGCTTGTGTGCCCTGGCCAGCCATTCAACCTCTGCCCTTCATTCTGATAGGAAAGTCTCCCGCTTGCTCTCACAGAAGTTGAGGAGCATACAGCAGGCCTCCACCACAAAGGGGATGTTGCACTTGCTGACATCCAGATGGCTGAGGAGACTCCAGAACCTCCCCTTTAAGTGTCTGAATACACACTCGTCCACCATGCAGCACCTGCTCAGCCTGGCATTCAAGTGCTCCTTGGTGTGGTCCAGGCAGCCCACATGAGCCAGGGGAGCAAGGGATAGGCCATGTCACCCAGGATGGGCCTGTCCCCATCCCCAACTCTGATGAAGCGGTCAGGGAAAAAATTGGCATGAGTTCCAGAAGATGTGGGCATCATGTGCCTTCTCTGACTAGCCGACGTTGATGTTGGTGAAGCGTCCCGTGTAATCCATGAGAGCTTGTAGCACCATGGAGAACTACCCCTTCTTGTTGATGTAGTCTGAGGCACAGTGGTTGGGGGACAGGCTGGGGATGTGTGTGCCGTCTATGCCCCGCCCACATTTGGGGAAGCCTACGCTGGCACAGCCATCAATGATGCTGTCCACGCTCACCCGAGTGATGATCCTCTGTAGAAGCACCTGGTTGATGACCTTGGCTAGTTGCAGAAGCATGGCCCTGACTGTGGATTTCTCCATGCCGAACTAGTTACTGATGACGCAGTAGCTGTCCAGCAAGGCGAGCTTCCACAGGGCAATGGTGATACACTTCTGCACAGGGATGGATGGCGGGTTTTAGTCAGGTGCTCTGTTGCTGGAGGCCATAGGTGAGCCACACGCGGAGCTCGAGGAAAGTGGCCTTCTGCATATGGAAGTTCTGTAGCCACTGCTGGTCATCCCATTGCTGCAGGACGATGAGTTCCCACCAGTCAGAACTGATCTCTTTCTGCCAAAAGCTGCATTCCACAGTGTCCAAAGGATTTAGTGGCGTTTGCAGCAGCAGGAGGGCCAGGACCTGGGTGATCAGGGCCTCTGGTCCAGACTGGTTATCATCCTGCTAGAGCAGCACGTAGGCAGACTGGACAAACTGCACCATGAGGCATAGCACGAGGCCTGCAAGCTCAGTGTTGTAAGTGCTGTGGTGTCCACAAGGGGAAGGCAGTAGAGGAGCCCCTGAAAACACGTGTTGCAGCTTGCCGGACCAAGCAGCCACAGCTCTCCTGGAGCCCTCCCTAGAGTGCTTCGGAGGGCTCTAAGTTTGAGGCAGGCTCCAATCAGTGTGGACAATGCTATGTAGAAATAATTCTGAGTAATTTCAATGCTCTCCCATAGATGGGACATGCCATTTTGATTGTTATTTTGGGAGTTCAGTTTTAGTAACTTTGAAATAATTTCCTAGCGTAGACATGCCCACAGAGAACAAAAGGAGCTTATGGAATATCCTGCAGTATAAGCTGGAGAATAATCAACTTTGTGGAGAACCTCACTGGCCCACACCATATTCTCTGCACTGAATATTGACATCAGAAGACCTTATTTTATATTTATATTTATTACAAAACATACCTTGCTTATGTGTCTTCATTTGCTTGATAAATTTGTAAACCAGAGTAATTTGCAATGGGCATCCATGATATTTATTTCAAATATGACCAGAATAGCCATCAAAATGGCTGTGAAGGGACTGTCATTTTTGTACTTTTGAAGTATGAGTCTGCTCTGAAAATCGACTAAAAGTTGAACATTTATTTACTGCCTAGTGCTTAGAGTTCTAGTTGCTGACTTCAGTCATATCAAGTAACCGTCTTTTGCTTCTTAGCCAAAACAGCAGAGTGAGCTGAATTCTGCTGCTCTTCATGTATGAACAGAATGCCTGCGAAGTTCTAAATAACTACACCTGTATACTACACTGAGAACAGGACTGAACAGATATCACTGATGGTGTAGTAAAATAAGCATCGGGCAGTGCACAACATCAAGCCTTTACCTCTAGTGATGACGGAAGAAAAGACACCAGCTGTACAATCCAGGGATGGCGAGTACCAAAATCTCTGTATGGTAAAAGCATGTCTGATATGGAAACACTTAAATAACAATAGATATGAAACCTCCTATGTCATTTTAGTGACACTGAAGTCTGGGGTGAAATCTTGCGGTCAATAGTACTCCCAGGTGGGACCAGGATTTCATCCCAAGGTCCAATAACTGACTTCGATGGGAACTGTCTACACATAACCGATAGGATGAGCAAGCTTTTAAGCCACTGATATCCCAAAGCAAACACATGGTTCCCAAAGTAAAACAGGAAGACTGAGACAATTAACTGAAGTCTGATCAGTTTTGAAATAATTTTACCTGAACAACCCACTTGATTAAAAGAGGATCAGCCATCCCTATCTCCCAATGCTGTACTATTGAAAAATTAAGATGCACTACAAGGTCAGACACCTTCCTCTGAAGCACTTGGCATTGGCCACTGTTGAAAGATAAAGATAAGTTAGCTTAGCTTGGGTTGAAGTGGCAACCTCAGGCCGGTTGATAAATTAATTGACAGTTCATCAAGTTTCACTGGATCTTCAATAAATATTATCCTATTCTCCGATGAAATGTTACATAACTTTTTACAGCTACTTCCCAGTCCAAACCTGATCTTTAAAAGAAAAGCACCTGGGTAACTGAATATTTTAGACCAGTGATTTTCAAGGCTCTCTCATTTGCAGACTCCTCAAAAGCATCAAATGGATGTGAAAACCCTGTTGGAAATTTTAGGCAGAGTGTGTAGACCCCTAGGATTCTGCAGACTACAGGCTGAAAACTATTGTTTCATACATTAACCAGGGATGCCTCCTAGTAAGATTTAAAAAGTTTTTCAGAATAAAATGATTCCAAACCAGCATGGTGTACGTGAGAGGGCACCTCTCACCTTTTTAAGGAAGAAGATAATGAGCTCTTCTGGGTTTGGCCAGCACAAACTAGATACAGCTGCAAGGCTTGCTCTGCCTGGAGAGACACCTCATCGTAGTATGTACTTACAGGGTCATTTCCACTGCTTACATCTTTGGCTTCTTTGAAGATGTACACATATGTGCTTCACTGCCAGAGAGAGAGAGACTGTACCCTTTATGGGTGGTATTCCTGAGACCATTTATTCTCTGCTACTTTAAAAACCTCACACACCTCAATCTGGGACAATGCCAATGATGTATCTCGCTAACGGGGTAAAGTTGTAAACAGATGCTTGGAACGTCTCATAACCGAAGCTTGAGCCCAGATGTACAGCACCTTCCTTTAACTTATGGACCATGAATTTTATTTGAAACATTAGCTTTAATAGGATGTTTCTTTCTAATGTAACACTCAGAGTTGTATTTCCAACATTAACTGCTGTACAGTATTACTGTCGTGAGAGCTAACAAAGCCCATTTATAATGTACTTGTGGAGCATAAACAGGACAAAAAAGAATCAAACACTGATCTGTTAAATACTCTGCACCATAGCCTCAGATTATGTAAATTAGCATTGCTCAATTGATCTCAACAGAGTGATGCCAATTGGCACCAGCTGTGGAGCTGACTGACAGTTGCTTATGAAGGTGGAGTGTAGACCAGAGAGATCAGTTGAAGAGCTCATATACACTGCACACATATTTTACATTGTATATATACTAGAAAAGCAGCAATAATTCTGAAGTGGTGGTGTCTATCTAAATTTTTTGTCAAAGAAAATGAGAGAGGTTTTCACCACTAAATCTTTTGAAGACTGATCCTCCTCCCCCCAGATCTCTAACTTATATGTCAACAATAATAATAATAAAAGAACAGCTGGGGGAAAAAAATTCCCTGCATTTTTGTTGATATCATAAATTACAATTATTTGATCTTTTTTCTTTTGACTTATTGTTTCACAGGAAACTCTTGGGTATGTTTTCTTGTCAAGCCCAGACTTTTTTTTTAATATTTCAGCAACTCAAGAGAAATACTGTCATTATAGTTGGTAAGCAACAGATTAAAGATGCTCACTGGTAACATTTAAAAACTTTCCAGTAAAAAAACCCAAACAAACCAAAAAACACGATCTAAAACAAAAACAGTAAACATCTATACAAACAAAAGCAGCATTGGTCATTTCTGAAAATGACACAAAATAACTAGTTTCTAATTAGATGTTAACAACTCATTTATTTCAGTATCAATTCAGAAAGGCATTAACATCCTAACTGTTCCTACATATTTGAACAGTTCCACTGAAATCAATGAGAACTATACATGCTGAAATTGCATATAAATATCTAACTGTAGTTTCAGATTTGGGCAACAAGGACATGACTAGTAAAAATCTGTATTGCGTAACAAAGATGTACCAGGTGAATACATATTGTTTTTGCCACTTTTTCTTTCTGGGCATATACAAGAAAATTTCAGTAAATTGGATAATTTATAGAAATGCATTTTAAACCACACTCAGAATTACATACAGTTTTATAACATCATCATCAGCAATGGCACTGCTTAGTGCCACAGAATGGTTGTGTCAGACATGCATGAGAGTATATGAAGAATGCTATTTTTTCATCTCCAAGATGGCACTGCCTGGTCCTCTGTGCTTAGCACTGCAGATGTTGCAGAAGGGCAATGGGGACATCTGAAAATGTAAAAGAGAGGTGCGCATTAGTGGAATACTACTGTATTTTGTAGCGAAACAGTTGTCATATGAAAATGTATCTAAGAATTTGGGAAGGCAAATGTAAGTCACCTCAGGAATTCCACATGCAGTCAGTAAAAAGCTATCTCCTGTGTAGGTTCACGCATACAAATACACATAGGAAAGCAGTACAGGTTAAACCTCTTGACTAGGACTCTGGGTCCAGCAACATCCAGGGTCCTGCTGGGGGTGAGAGATGACTGGGAGACTGGCCACAGCCAGGGTGGAGCCTGTCTGGTGACCAGGGGTCAATGGCTAGGTTCCTGGCCATGGCTAACAGTGGAGCCAAGCTGGCAGAGCAGGGGCGGGGAGCCCAGTAGTCAAGGCCGGGAGTGGAGCCCTCTGGCCATGAGGAGAGACTAAGAGCTGGGGCTGGCGGCCTCCCTAGGAGAGCCCAGAGGCTGGCAGCAGAGGGGCTGGAATCATCCTCCCCTGGTGCATCAATCTCCCTCAGCCAGGAACAGTCAGGTCCTTAGGTTGCCAGATCAGAGAGGGTCAACCTGTGTAACAGACTATATTGTGCATGGAGCCAAGAAGCAGTATATTCCTCATTGTCTTTGGAAGTGCTTTAACAGACACCCTTCAGAAGGAAGTATATGTATACAACAAATGTATAATGAAGCCAAATTCTGCCCTTGTGAGGATTAAATACTTATACAAATACCTATGTGGAACAAAAGCAGCATAAATTTCTTGGCAGACTGTCCTGGCTCTTTGGAAGCTTTGTGCTGGTGGATCTGGCTGTGGGTGGATTTCTGAGCCACATCCCCAGATGGTATATATTGGCACAGCTTCATGAATTTCAAGGGAGCTATGCTGATCTGCACTAGCTCAGGATCTGGGCCAACGTCTCTGTTTTGCTATTCAAATCAAACATTTTTTAACTATGTTCTTTACTTTTGCATTCTTCTACCTCCAATATGCCCTACTATGCCCATATGCATCAAACAGGTTTCCTATATCTGTAACTGGTACAGCACCAAACAGCAACTGGTCAGCAGAAACTCTGAGGACCAACAACTAAATGCAAGAATATTAAGACTCCTATAGTATCAATTACAATAAAAGTCAGCTTTTGAAAACAAATCCTTGTAAATATTATCTAGTCCTTTCCATCTAGGAACACCACTTCAATCTGGCTTTTGGTATTGTGGTCTTTTAGACAAAATTGGACTATTCTTCAGATAATCCTATTCATAGTAATTATTGCTAGTAAATATTGTTTGGTCAAACAAATTTCTAACAAACAACAGCTTTTAAGTAAAATATTTAAGAGGCTTTATTATTATTATTATAGAAACATGCTAATAAAATAAAGATGTATGTGATAAATATTTAAATATATAATTTTTGGTGTGCGAATATGGAGATGCCTACATTTACTAGAGGGAGTAGTTCTTTAGACAATGACTTGACTTTACCACAAAACAGACTTAAGTAAAAAAATATCATAAATACCAACTGATTTTCCTTTTATTAACTTTGACACTTATTTCTAAATCACTGTCCAATTTATAATATATAGTTATAGTTATTATATTTTCACTTTACTGACAAATAATTCAATTTAAAAGAAAAAATTCTCAGCAGAAAAGTGAATATAAACAAAAGTTATTTAATTTAATTCACTAAACTATGAAGACACTTTCCTCTCCAGAACAAATCAGTGAATATAAGTGCCTTAAAGTATTTTATTTTGGAATTTAATTAAATTAAAACAGATCTTACAGAGGTGCGTGGACAAGTTTAAAAAAATAAAATGACTCATTCATAAAATCTCTAAAACGCATTACATATTCAGATTGGAGAAAGTCAAAATATTTGTCTCATCTGAAAGCAGCATTTTTCAATTAAATTATATGTATTTTGGTTGCAGTTGAGTTAACCACCTTTCTTCTGGACACATACTGAGATATAATCAGGAATAATTACAATAATCATTTTATAATCCCTGACAAACATGTGCCCTTCTCTGTGGATGGCAAAAGCAAATCATTTGTCCTTTTGTCTTTGAGGAAGGTGATCTCTCATATCCACAGAAATTAAGTTTGTTGCTTACTGTGCTAGGTACGGTGAGGCACTCTTTGTGAAACATATGTCTGCAATGGAACACTGTCACACTGAAGGATTTGGATGCATCTGGGGAGGGAAAATAAACATATTACAATGAAATAGTGAAAGAATGAGATGATGGTTATAATAAATGTACCTTATCTATGCAAAAGAAATCAACATATTACATTATCTGTGCAGAATACTAGTAACATTTAAGTAGCACCCTTCAGCACAAGTAGCACCACAGTTAATACTGCCCAATATGTTCCATCATTAAAAATAATTTTCTAATGCTTTTAACTGATAAACTCAATCCATATGGGATGAAATTTCTATACTGCATTTCTGTCTGAGATTTGATGATTTTTTGGTGGTACTGCTGCTGATGGCAATGTCAGTTAAAACAGTTTAAATCATTTCTGTGAAAAAGGTTCAGGAAAATATATTGTTTTGCCCAGGTTAAATATTTTTCTACAACTGTTATTTAAGAAGCACCTCCATAGTTTCAAGAAAAGACTTTAAATTTGTCAAAGGGTTGTTCTGAAGTTGGGGATATGCTTTTTGAGGCCCACATGAAAATTTGGGCAACCGTTAAGCATCCGAATAACTCTTATGGTACATAAATGTGTCTATAAATTCACAAAAAAATTATTTCACTATCATTAATATGCAGCTACCTCAGAAGTATAATACATTAAGAACAGGTAACCAATTATCAATGGAACATTCTCTTTTGCCAGATTTTCTAACATCATAGGCTTGTGCTAAGCTTGATGTTGGTGAACATAGTAGTGTCACTTTGTGAATCTAGCTGATGGTTTGACCAAACACCCTATTTCAGTTCTACTTTCCTCCTCTATGCCACATCAACATTAATTTTGCAAAAGATGGGGTGGAGGAACAAAACTGAAATGAAAATGCTTCCTTTAATGCTCTATGCCATTGCTCAGTATCTGGCTTTTTCACATTAGAAAGTAATCTTATTCAAATGCTTAATCATAAGCATTCTCATTTGGAGGGCTCAGGCCAGCTTACTATATTGAATCAAGATGTAACTTTCTTATGCTAAGGAACAAGTGAAGAAAACAAGCACCAGCATACATATTAGTGATATAGCACCTTTCCAAAACAGGTATCTCTATGTTTTGCTGAATTTCTAATTTTCATGGCTAACCTCAGAAAATGTTGTAAAACTACAATCTGTTATATGATTAATGCAAATATCTTAGCACTGAATGAAGCCATGTGTTTTCAAATGCTCACTAGTAACAGGTTTATTCCACGAACAATAATTTTATATTTATATTTCCCAATAAAAGGATTTTCTCTCATAAGGTCTCTTTCCCACCAAACATCTTACCTGTAGGAAGTATAGGGGAAAGACATGATTCACAGATATTCTCCTCTGTTTAAAAAAAAAAAAAAAAAAAAAAAAGAAAAAAGAAAAAAGAATTAATATTAAAAAATTAATTCCAAAGAACACTATGTTATCATCATGTCTCAAGTGAGTAGGGATCTGTCTTTACTATAGAAAGTCCAACATCCAATGCTTCATTGTGAGGAATTATTTATAATGCTCTATGCAGGCTATTAAAATTTAAGAATGAAACAGAACCGGCATTATTTCTGTTTGAAAATATGTAGCAAGGTGCTCAAATTCTGTGACGAATGGACCATTTAAGTACCTTGATTGACAGTCAGATCAGAGCTATAAACCCTCAGAAAGAGCTTTGAAAGATGTCTGTTTTTTCTATGTCCACTATGCTGTTTCAGAAGCTCTGACCCTCTACCCTCACAAAGGTCAGGTTCTTTCCTGCTGGAATTATCACTGCATTTCCTTGGAGTTACACAATTTCTGGTGTTATAATTAAGTTAAGTATTGACACTGGAGACCTGTAGTTTGCAGGAGGCAACAATTCCTCATTAAAGATGAGGGCTTGCAGCATTCCCTTCCAATTTATCTAAATTAGGTATGAGGCCTAAGCCCTCGGCAAGCTTACAGTGTAGTCTAAAAGCAAAGAATACTGCTCAATAGTTTCGAAGACTATTGCATTTTGTTTGTACCCACCATCCACACGGACGCCTTTCATTTGAGTCCGGTGCATTTTCTTCAACAGGGACAGTGAGTCTGCAACAAGTATCTTCTTGCATCCCTCACGCAGCAAAATCTATCACAAAGAAAGAACACAATCAGATAAGATAATACATTCACTCAAATCCTCCCATCTATGATATGTCCAACCTTAACATTTTTTCATTTGACTAATAAGAAATGTCAACTCAGTACTTGAAGCATTCCCTATATCACTGCTTTGCAAATTCTGAACCTGGGAATTCCCTGCAAAATTAAGAAATGTTCCATTATCTTCTCTTGAAAAACATCCTAACCAAACCACTAGCAATGTTATTAACTTTCAAAGGCAAACTTAAGCTGATAGTAGGGAGGGGTCAAAAACTTTAGATACCTGTTCAATTTAATACAATGGATGAAATTGCTTATGGTAAGGTTCCAATGGAAGAAAAATCTAAGGGAAATCAGAATTCAAGAGAGCTTGTAATTTCTCAGAGATGCAACAGCAAACTATCCCAACATAAGGAAAGATAGGTAGACTACTAAGAAGCCACTATGGCTGCATGAGGAACTCTTTAACGACCTGAACAACAAAAAGTAGAAATATGAACACATTTCTAAGGATGAGCATAAAAGAGTAGCATGCCAACATGTAGGAATCAAATCATTAAGGCTGAAACATAAAATGTATTAGATATGTATTAAAAGGTTGCATAAACATTAAAAGCAAGAGAAAGACCAATAAAATATAATTCATTCACTTAGTATGGATGAAGAATTATTAATAGAGGATATCATGAAGGTTGAGGAGTTCAATGCTTACTTTTCTTTAGCCTTCTTTAAAAATGTAAATTGTGACCAGATACTTAACACAATTAATATTAAAAGCAAGTGAAAAGGAATAAAGGCAAACGAGAGAAAGAATGCAAGAACACAACTCATTATATAAGTTAGATGTATTCAAGTTAGCAAAACTGATGAAATTCACCCTAAAGTACTTCAGGAACTAGCTGAAACAATTTTGGTTGGAACCATTAACAATTATCCTTGAGACCTAATGAAGGAGTAGGAAGGTGCCAGAGGACTGAAGAAGAGCAAACATAGAATTTATCATTAAATTGGATCAGTCAGTCTAAGTTCAGTAGTTGGAAAGATATCGGAACAAATTATTAAACAATTTATAAGTACCTAAAGGATAAGAGGGTTATAAGTAATAAGGAATATAGATTTGTTAATAACAAATCATGTCAAATCAACCTAATTTTCATCTCTGGATACAGCTACTGGCCTAATGGATAGAAGCAGTATTGGTGATATTATCTTGGCTTTAGTAAGACACCTGACAGTCCCTTAGGACATTCTCACAAGCAAACTACAAAAATGTGCTCAAGATTAGATTACTATGAAGTGCAAAATCCCTGAATGAGTGTACCGAGAGTAGTTTATTAATGATTCACTATATGGAGTAATGAATTAGTGGGATCCTGCAGGGGGTGTCCTGGGACCAGGACTATTCAATATTTACATTAATTATTTGGATTATGGAGTGGAGGACATTTACAAAATCTGTTATTGACTCCAAGTTGGGAGGGGTTGTAGCATTTTGTAAGACAGGATCAAAACTCAAAACCATCTTGATAAATTTGAGAATGTGTCTGAAACCAAAGTCAAGACAGATACATGTAATGTACTACAGCCAGAAAGGAAAAAATAAAAAAAATGCTAATCTACATTGTAAGATCTCAGCTGGAGACCTATGGATAATTTGGGGTACTTTTGGAAAGATATAGACAAAATGGAGAGAGTCCAGAAGAGAGCTACAAAAAGATAGATCAGGTTTTCTAAACCTATGATTTTAAAAACTGTTTAATCTTTAAAAAAGAAAACTGAGGAGGGACTTGCTAACAGTTTTCAAATAAGGTTGTATCAGGTTGTGCTAAAGAGGATGGTGATCAATTGTTTGACAAAAGGTAGAACAAAAATAAAGGGCTTAATCTGCAGCAAGGGAGATTTGGATTAGATATTAGGAAAAAACTTGTTCCCCATAAGCAGTTACGTACTAGGATAGGCTTCAGAGGGAAGTTGGAGGTTTTAAAGAACAAGTCAGAAATGGTCTAGATATACTTGGTTCTGCCTCAGCTCAGTGGGAGCAAGGTGAGAGGTGGGGTGGACTATATGACTTGTCATGGTTCTTTCCAATACTACTTTTCTCTGATTCTAGAATCACATTGGTTCCTTCTGGCCCTCATCATCTAGTAATTCAGCTCTTCGAGCATGCAAGACAGGCAAAGCGAGCCACACAAGTTAAAGTACTAAAAGTACAGTAAGAGGACAACTCATCATTAAGGAAACATTTCTTCAGCATGTTTGTTCACATGGATTCTCCTCTTGATGCACACACTTCCCATGAGGATGTGGAACAGGCTCTGCCCATGGTAAGCCTGGACCTATGGTAGGCAGGGGCTACTTCACAGAAACCTCCAGGTACCACCTGGCCACTCCCCCCCTCCGCCTCTGATAACGGGTGGGGAGAGTGGGCAGGAGGTATCTGGAGACGGTGCTGAGGGGAACTGGCTTTTAAGTTGGCACCCCCCCAGCACACACTCCCTCCCTTGCTGCCTCTGATATGGAGGCAGCAACAAGGGGAAGGAGGGATGCAAGTAGTTAAGTACTCCACTCGACTACCCAATAAGCCTAGACTACTCAACTGCTAGCTTACATCCCTAATTTATATGGAAGTCTGACACACCTCTGGGCAGAAACTTGGGGTGAGATCTGAGTATGACCCTGTCCTTATGAAATGGTATAAGGAGTATTTTGGATCTTCCCTACCCTTTAAGCTGATGTTATAGTCATTAACAACAATCTTCAAGTAGAGGTGGTATAAGAACAGGTTGTTAAAGTTTCCATGGGAGGACTCATTACCTTGCTAACATCCATACTGAGGCTTCTGAAGAGGGAAGGGGCTCCCACTCCAAAAGAAGATCATGAATAACATCCCTCTGGAATCTAGCCCCAGAGGCGGAGGGGAGGGGGGGAAATTGCATGACCCGAGATAGGAGAGTGACATGCAGATATTGCTCCTAAAAATGGACCCTTCTGAAGCTGCTGGAAATCCCAAATTGGTTTCAGGGCTAGTAAACAGCCCAATGTTGCTCAAATTGGTGATGACAAGACAGAAAGCTAGTACTGAGAGGCTAAAATAGAAACCTTTTCCATTTAGCTCTGTAGGTCAGTAATGGTGGTTCCAACGGATGCACATTAGCACAGCGTGCAGGAAGAAGGTGGACTCTGCAGGAGTTCAGTCTCATTGCCACAGGGAGTAAGAAGAATAGTTGGACCTGCTCATACCATTATGCCCTTGCCATGGAAAGGGAGGGTACAAGGATATCTAGGCTGCAGTCACAGCCTCAGGAGATTCCATTAGCCAAAACAAACCAACTTTGTATGCCTGGGGTGCATGTGCCTGGAGAATAGAACCCATGTGGACAATCAGTGGAAGAATTTTGAGCCAAATCTAAGTTAAGTGCATTGCCAAGAGATGGGCCCTTCATTTCCATAGAAAAAAAATTGATTTATTATCCCTGCTCAGCAATCTCTTAAAAATATTGTTGATCCCATTTCAAATTGGGAAGGTCCAGGCATGCGCTGACTCAGACAGATGAGTGAACACCTCTCACTTAGAAGCAATCACCCTCACCAAATGGAGAGTTTCACATTGTCTAAGCCTAGTTCTCTCACTCCTCTGCCTTTTATAAAAGTGAGAGCAGAAGCCAAATATTCTCATGGGTCAAAGATCATTCCCTGAGGTCTTCATGCCCCCAGAAAACTAATGCACCATGGGGCAACTTTTCAATCACCAAGTAAGATTTTACTTTTTTCCCATAAAGATAATTCTTTTAAAATACATTACCATAAAAAGCTGTAGCCTTCCCATTATTATTTCCCGTGTTCCTCCCACACCTTACATCTCAACCCCATAAAGAGGGATTAACAGGCATTTTTTTTTTTTTTACAGTGCCACACCATTTTCAATCACTTATATCTTTTGCCCTACCCCTCCCTTCCCTCTTTCCCAAGTTCCTCTCTTTCTC